CTGGGGAGTTGTTGGTCCGATATGGAACACAAGAACAAAAGGAATATTTCTTGCCTCGTTTGGCCGATGGAACCTTGATTCCTTGCTTTGGTTTGACCGGTCCTCATTCTGGAAGTGATGCCACGAGTTTGATTGGAAGTTATGGTGTTGTCGAAGAGCGTGACGGAGTCGTGGGAGTGCGTGCAACCTTCAAGAAGCGATACATCACATTGGCTCCTGTGGCTGGTGTTGTGGGAATTGGATTGAATCTTCAGGATCCCAATGGATTGTTGAAGGGAAATGGAGGTGAAGGTTTCACTGTTGCCCTATTGGAGTAAGTACCAAAAAATGACAATGCAATTTATTCACTGCCTTTGAAAATGAAGCTTACAATATATTTCTTTCTAATCATGACAGACGCCACCACGAAGGATTGCGCATGGGACCTCGTCACAAGCCTTTGAATGCAGCTTTTATGAACGGAACCGTCGAAGGAGAGGATGTCTGGATCCCCATGTCACACATTTTGGGTGGGCAGGAGCGATGCGGTTTCGGATGGCACATGTTTGTGGAATGTCTCGCCGAAGGACGTGGTGTCAGTTTGCCTGCTGGAGCTGCTGGTAGTGCCCGTGGTGTTGTCACCGCCGTCGGTGCCTATGCCCGTGTTCGAAAGCAATTCAAGGTCCCCATCGCCGAGTTCGGAGGTATCCAAGAGGCGTTGGCGGATGCTGGAAGTGATGGTTTGATCTGTCTTGCTGGAACCGACCTCATGAATGCCATTATCGACAACCACGAGGCTCCCATGGTCATCTCCTCTGTCATGAAGCAAAACTGCACAGAGCGGGGACGCCGTATCATTGAGCGCGCCATGGATGTCGCCGCTGGAAGTGCTATTTGCTTGGGAGACAAGAACTTGGTCGGAAACCCATACATGAGCATGCCCATTGGTATCACCGTTGAGGGAGCCAACATTATGACTCGTTCCTTCCAAATCATTGGACAAGGTTTGACTCGGTGCCACCCACACATGATTGATATCATCAACGCCCTTCAAATGCCCAAGGAACAAGAGGCTGAAGCCACCAAGATTTTTGTCAAGCAATTCTACAACGTTCTTGGACACGGTGTTTCCAACTTTGGACGCTCCATCTCCCGTGGTATCAGCTCCTCCATCTCCACGAAGACTCGCTCCAAGACCGCCTACAAGGATGGCGATAAGTTGTTGGCGTACCACGAGGCGCAGCTGTTGCGTCTCAGTGCCAACTTTGCCATGACTGCTGACTTGTGCTTCACTCTTGGTGGACGCCTCAAGTTCGAAGAGTTGCTCATGGGACGTCTGGCCGATGCCTTGGGTGCTATCTTCTTGGGATATTCCACACTGCACCACTACACTCGTCGCCGAGGAGTCGAAGGACTTGAAGCTATCACAGAGCACGCTATGCAACGCTTGGAGTATGAAGCTCAGGAAGCTCTTAAGGTTGCCTCTGACAACTTCCCAGGTCAATTGGGACCAATTGCCGCTGCCACAATGAAGGTAGGCTGCTTCCCATTGGGAGGAGTAACACGCCACTACAAGCCACCCTCAGATGAACTTACAAAGGAGGTGTCCCGACTTATCACCACTCCTTCCGGGCTTCGTGACATGTTCGCAGAAACTCTCTACGGATCTGATGAGGCAACCTACAAGCAGGGTGAATACCAAGGATCTGATTTGGCATATGCCCTTCCAATCTGCGTTGAGGCAGACAAGATTGCCTCTACTCTCCGCCGCGAGAAGCGAGAGCCAACACAGGCAGAAGCCGACAAGATTGCCGAGGCAGACGCTCTGCGGGATATCCTGATCCAGGTTGATGTGTTCCCATACTTGACACCTGAAGAGGGAAGCGAGGGGTACGTCCGTCCTGCCATCTTGGGAACCGAAGAGCGCCTTGCCAACTTGGAACAAAAGACATTCGACGATGTCCTTGAAGCTACCACCGCCAAGACCGCATAAGCGACTACAACACACGAGTACATGGTGAGCGAATGACAAGAATTGCATGGATTGGAAATTGCTGGTAATATATATTTCTAGAGAGACTTTGTTTCCGTTTTCAGACGTTTTATGACTATTGCATCTGGTACCGTCCGTCATAGCTGCCTGCCGTAGGAATGGTTCGAGTGTTGTCTACTTGTCTATTTTATGGTCAAATGATGCAACAGAGCAATCAAGCACGCTGCCAACTCCATCAAAACAGTCACGGGCATCTACGTTGTCTTCAGCCTTTCCACCCGCTCGTTTCGCCCCTTGCTGGCTGTCAGGGCACTACTAGGGGCCAGCATTGGCCTGCCTCCATGCGGCTCGTGACAAGGTGGTAGTCCGATTCCATGCTTCGCCACCTTCGTGCTGTCCAGGTCGCAACCGGTACTGTTCCAACAACTTCTCCCATTGCTTGACCATGGATTTGGCACAACCACTTCACCGATTGGCTCCCACAATGACTTGCGCCCACCTCCCACACGAGAAAGCACTACTAGTAATCTTGAGTCACGCATTGAGACCTCTGCTTTTCGAAATTTCGATTTCATAAAAAAAATTTAATTCATGGTTCTGGATTTGGTGGAGTGGGAGAACTGGCACCTGTGTTAAGTATACACGTGCTCCAAACTTCCGGCACATAGGGTCACATCGATAATGGGAGCATCGAAGGAACACACGGAACAACAAAGGCTGTACAGTGTCTCCACAGTGCAAAACAGGCGAAGAATCTTTTAGGGTTCTTCGATGAATGACTCGACTCACAGTTGCCAGACTGGTACCATCTCACAAAATACGAATCTACTCCCACACTTCGCTCACACACAACAAGTACATCTCTACACTCCTCAGGTCATCACCTGCGTTCCTGAAATGGATAACCCACATACATGTCGATTGCCACTGCCTTTTCGCAAGATCCACTCTAAGGCAATAGCACCCCACGAAGACCGCTCACAGATAGCAACCTTGAATGAACACAACACGCAAGACCGGTCCAACTCTCTCCTTCAGCCATTGAACAGTCGATCGCAAGAAGGTTGTCTCCTTCTCTGCTCACAATTCTTCCTTCAGCCGAGCTGCAAGCTAGAACTAGAATAGATTAACCTCTTGCGTCGGCATCAGGGTCTAAATCTCTTCGAAATCCTCGACCATGGCCAACGCTTTATTCTCTACTCTCGTCGACCGCGGCAACCACTGGGACGTTCATGAGTTTGACTACAACGCTCTTCTCAACCGTGTTGGTGCCAATGCTAACACTGACAGTCGGGCGTCGCAAGCCACACTGTGTGCTGCCGTCACTCGGTCACCCCTCCTCATCGCGTTCGTACTTGACGGTGATGAAGACTACATCCACGTCGGACACTCCCTGTTCACCTACCCAGCTGACTTTGAACGTGTCTCTCCGTACGACAATCTTTCCGTTGTACTCACTGGAAACGACCTCCACACCATCGCCCCTGTGATCCTTCCGAACGACAGCTTCCAACGCGTCGCCGACACTCGTTGCAAGACCTTGGCGTATCTTGATGGCCCGGACATGTTGGGTGCCGATCCACCGAACCTTCACTCGGGTCCCCATGGGAACGGCGAGGCAGATGTGGACTCCTACCGGTCCCGTCGCCTCATGCCCATTCCGCACTACCTGACCTCACGAGTCCTCACGCAAGTGCCTACCGGGCGATACTCTATCACCCAGTTCCGAAACCTTATCCTAGGCCCGGAAATCACGCATGCTGATGCAGCCCGACAGAACGCCATTATCCCTCTCGTCCAATGGTTTCGCGCGGTCTGCACCAGCGACGCAAACGGATCCCTCCTTCGCATCACTGGAGAACATTCGCCTCTACCTGCCAATGTCATGGCCCTTCAGCGCTGCATCAATCTCGTCACTCGACCATTGCTCACCGCCCTGGGCGCTACGGGACCTGGACTGACGAACGACACCTTCAACGCCGGAGTAGCCAACATCCAAAATACCCTCGCCAACGTCAACCGAGAACAACTGGATTTCGAACGCGCTCGGGGGACCAAGACCTTCACGTCCAAATTCGGTGTCAACCTGGCCACTC